TGGGCTTTCAACATGTTTTCCCCACTAAGCTTAACCTCACTAAGCTTCTGGCTTTTGATTTAAAGTGAGAGATATGGGACTCTTCCTTTCACTTGAACACTTGGAGGCCATTGTAGGGTTATTAATTAGCCTAATTTCAATCTTATTGTGTCTCAAGAAATAGGGAAGTCCAAGAAAAGGGAGAGAGAGAGAGGGGGGAAAGGCTGGTTAGTGGTGCAGTCAGAACACACACAACATTTATTGATTAAGTTGGCCATCTTATATGGCAGTGTTGGTGGTGCCCCAAAGCAATTACCATAACAACATCAAAGATCACTAATCATGGATCACTATAATGGATACAATAATGATGAAAAAGTTTCAATTATTATGAGAATTACCAAAATGTGACACAGAGACAAGAAATGAGCACATATTATTGGAAAAAATGGCTCCAATAGACTTGGTCAATGCAGAGGTGTTGCGAATCTTCCATTTGTGAAAATATAATATCTGTGATGTTCAATGAAGTGAAACACAATAAAATGAAGTTTGCCTATAATTTGACTTTTATAAATGTTTAGAAACATACAATGTACCAATGAGGAGAACTGCGTTGATAGAGATGACAGAAATAAAGAACTATAATAGGTAGGTAAGCAGATGGAGAAATAGACAAATAGAAGAAGGGAGTAGGAGAGAAAGAAAAAGAAACATGAAAGATGAGGTAGAAAGAGAAAATAAGAGAAGGAGTAAAAAGGGATAAAAAGGAAGGGAAGTGATAAGAAAGGAAAAGAGGGGAAAGAAACATAAAGAAGAAAAAAAAGGAAAAGAAAGAGAAGGAACAAAATTGAATAAAAGGGGGCTGGAAAGGATGAGATGAGACCAGAAAGATGAAAAGGACAATAAAGATGGAAACAGAAAGGAAGGGTTGAATCTAAAGAAAAGAATCATGGGGGCCATTGTCAGTAGTTACTCTAAAAACAACTTACTTGTGTTGCACCCTTCTCTAATAAATAATTGTGAAGTTATATTTATTTGAGGAAAATGCAATTATTTTAAAACATCAGGAAACAGTTGTTGAATGACTCAGATGAGACTATTTGGAGCAACGGGCTGTTAAGAATTAAAGCCATCATTGCTTATGCATGTATATAAATGACGGCCCAGACAAGCATTCCATGTTGAATGATTCTATTACCACCATTGAGGTGGAAGATGAGATTTTTTGACTTTTTAGTGCTTTGAAAACTGCTTTTTCTTCCCCAAGGGAATAATGTTTATGCAATCAGAGAGGCAACCTGATGTTAAATAGAGAACTAAAACCCTTTGAAATGAAAATTTGACAATAGAAGTGACAATAATGAACTTCCTAGTTTTACTTTGGGGAGATCTTAGCTAACATTATTTTATGGTACCCTCAATGAAGAACTCATCACAGAGAATTTCTGAGCAGGGTGGGACACAGGAATGATCACACAGTCCAAAGCTTTCACACCACCAGTGAAAAAACTGAAAGGCCAAAAGAATTTAAATACTTTATCCAAAATAATGACTAACTCAGGTCTGCTAATGTTTAATTTCACAAATGATTAATGAACAGAAACAATATCTGCTGGGACCTTCAAAGGCTATGAAGGAAATACTAAATCAATGGACCTGATCCATTATTTCTGCATGTATTTGTAATTATTACCAGGTTGCTAAACTGGGAGCTTCCTAAGATCCAGGATTATTTTGTTACTTTCCTATCTCCTTAGGGGAACAAAATGACACATAATAGTCAATAAATATATGTTTACTGAATGGAGAGTGTAGAAGAGCACAAAGTTTAGCTGTTACATATCATCTTCACTGCATAAGTTTTAATAAACTCTTCAAATTAACCTGTCAGTAACCTGGAGATCATACGTGACCCTATGCCATTATTCAAAGGAGACTGCTCATTTCCCAAGGATGAGTAGTATACGAAGTACTTGACAAACTGCTCAAAAGATAAGGGTCAGGTGCCTTCAGGGGACATCTGGCCCTCCTCCTAAGGACAGTGTAAAAATAAAAGACAAACTAGGTGACAATTAAGATGTCCCCAGAGGGAAACTTTCCTCCCATCATTCATGATCATGTGATTCAACCATTTCCCAATATAGATGTGCCCAATGAATATTCCTTATACTTGGATCATCTCTCCACCCAGGTTCATCTTTCCCACAGCTTCATAGCCAGTGAAAACATTCCTTGCTTCCTCAACCCCCCCCATCCCTGCTCTTTAATGCATCCTCGTCCCCAATCTAGAGCCAACTTGCCCCCACTCTACTTCACCTCCACACATACCCTTTCCACTAGAGTGCACCATTTCCCCCTCCCATCTCAGCAGCCCTCAGCACTCCATCTGCCAACAACTGGCAGTGCCAATCTCCCTAGGAAGCTTGCTCTGCCCTAGTATGCTGGGACCCCTCAAGACAGTGCTGGTGCCCACTGCCCCGCCCCCCAGTAGGAAGAAAACTCGCTCTGAGGGCTCTGACATACTTTCTCAGAGAAATGTTGGTGGCTTTAAGTGAAATTTAAGTGCTATTTCCACAAAATTTTACCCATGGCATCCTTAACACTGGGCTGTGAATAATCACGATTTAGAATTGTTTCCATGGGCGTGGGGTCACTGTGTATTCCAATTTTCAGATGATAAATTCAACAACAAAGTTCTAAAATACATCCCAGTCCCAGATCAGAAATTAAATGAACAAGAGTACATTTCAAAATTCACAACAGCATTGTTCTTAACAGACTCCGAATTGTGAAACAAGCCTGGGACACTCACATTTTGCAATTTACGAAGGGACAGACAAGCAAACTTACCTAACTAGCTGAACAAGGGCAACTTGTAACTTTACCACTAATTAGTTAAATTAAGCTAAGTGGGGCCTTACCAAAAGGCCTCCTCCAACCAGGTTTATGTTTTAAAAGAGGCCTGCTTTACTGGGATTACAGTTTCACCACAAGATCTTGCAAACTTAAAAGTATAACAATGTCACATTTTTGGCAACTCGGGTTTTGTATAATGTATTATAACTGAACGGGAAACTTAGGTGAGTCGCTACAAGGTGAGCCAAGTTACGGTCAAGAAAGTACTCAATGAAGGAACCTCCACCAGAAACTGTAAGGAGAGGTGTTAGCAAGAAGAGAAAAAAAATAGAAGGAATAATCAAATCCATTGATTCCCAAAGAGTTTAGTCAGTTATAGTTTAAATCATAAATGCAAAAGTATAATCATAAAAGATATCACTGAATCAGCACCAGAGGTGTGGTTTGTCTCCATCTATGCAATCTCTTTCAGCAACTGTTCAATTGGTGATGCTTCCCACAATAAATCCTCAGCCATCTGTGGTCAAGAGCCTGCCAGCTTTAAAGGCAGGATCCTCCCAGTCCCTCGGGCAGGCTCCGCAGAGTGAAGCCAGCACCCTCCATAGGTGTGCACACCACGTGTGCCAGAGTCCCAAAAGCAAGGGGACTGGGGTCCCAAAGCAAAAGGGGCTGGAATATGCAGTTGGAAGGTGTGGGGACTTCTGCCATTCCAGAAACAGTAGGAAGATAAGGAGAAACAAACAAAACAAAGACCTACTATTCCCACTCCTCCTGTCATCTCACCCTGGTTCCTCATGTCATTCTCATTCATTAGTTATTTTGAACAACCATTAAGAAAAAAAAAAAAAAAACACAACACCCAGCTCTCTCTTCTAAGTCCCTTTCATCACAGTCCCCTTTCCTGTTGCTTGTCAGCACTGATTCAGCCTCAGTCATGGATTTCCTCCTGACTCTGGCACTTGTTGGGATGAGAAAGAGAAAAAAGGGAGGTGCCTGCCGGGAACCTGGCAAGGTGTTTAGCAAGGGAGAATTTGTACATGAGCTGTTGGGCATTAAAATCCATCCCTGACTGCTTACCACCAGCATGCCTTTTTTGAATGTTCTGCTTCTTAGCTCTCATCTCCTCTTCTAGATCAGAGCTAGATCTTATAACTTCATCACTCTGGGCACGGGCCAACACGCTATCCTGTGTTTCCATAACCTCCCACTCTCCTCCCTATAAAGCGCTATTGTCTCTTTACCTACCCACCATTCCTGCAAAGAACACAGGCACATTCTCTGCTTCCTCGCTCACTGGGAAGGAGTCCCTCACCACATCCCACAGAACAGGCCTAAGGTCTCCAAGTACCACACCAGGGAGCAATCTCCTCTCACCCCACTCTCCTCAATCTACAGCGGTGGTTCTCAAACTCTGGTATGTCGCACAAGCCCCTGGAGAGCTAACAGAGGACACACACACCCTGACTCAGGCCGACCCAAGTTAGGAAAACACAGGTTTCCACCAATCAGCAGACAAGAAACGGGATCCCTACGGGAGTAAGAGATTGGTGTGGAGAAACTACGTCTTCCTTCTCAAGTTCTGCTCCCCACTCGGGATCTACAGGACACCCACGACCCCCCTGCAGCCTGAGCTCTCCCGCCTTTCCCCCGTGGTCCCCACGCCCCTCCGCCCCCAGCCTCCACTTCCTCCCACGGGCCCTTCCCCGCCGCGCGCCCCTCCCGCTCCCTCTCCCGGGGTCCCCCGCGGACTCCCGGGGCGAGCGAAGAGGAAGCGAGCCCAGCTCCACGGCGGGCGGCGCCTGGCCCCGGGGACCCCGAGCCCTCCTCCGCCCCAGACCTAACTTTTCAGACTTCTCAACTCACTTGCACCTACACCATAATGAAAAAGTAGGAAAGGCAGGGGACACTGAAACTCTGCACCCCGGGCAAGTTCCAATCCCGCGCGCGCGCGGAGGCCCTTGCCCTGCCCTCCGCGCGCCGGCCCGCGTGGCGCCCCGCACCCCGCGCGCCCCCCGCGCCCCCGCGTTCCCCGCCCGCCGAGGCCCGGGAGGGCAGCCGGGCCCCACTTACGGCCAGGAGCGCGCCGAGCCCCGCGCAGCCGCGCCCGCCGCCGAAGGTCTGCCTCCCAGGAAGCGGGAGCTCGCGGAGGGGAGGGGACTTACCTGCGGAGCGTCAGGTCGGCGGAGGGAAGCGCATTCCGGCCGGGACCGCACCTCCTGAGGGCTGACTGGGTGCAGAGCTGAGAAAGGGCGGGTGTGTGTGGGGACGAGTTGCAACAAGTCCTGAGGGGTGTCACACCAAACCCCGCGCAGCCAGGAAGCGCCTCGGAACCTGTCTGAACTCAAACACCCAACCCTCTACCAGCGCAGTATAAAAAAAAAAAAGCCTTTCTCTCCTGCCCGCCCCCGGGGCTGTGGGGCAATTACAAGTCCCAACACCTGGGCAGACGCGAGCAGAAACGGGGGAGGACGGCGACGCTCACCTGGGAAGAAGGTGGATCTCGGCAGAGAGGGACTGTGGTCCCAGCCGCCATCCTCCTGGGCTCCGGAATGCCTGGAGGGGAGGCCTGGGGGCCGCAGGGTGAGAGCAAGGGTTGGACCACCCTCAAGAGTTTGGGGCGGATTCAGCCCACAGTAGGGAATTCCAGTCAGCAGCCCGCAATGCGGACCCTACTCCACCGCATGAAACGTTTCCAGGCTTGGAAAAGACTAGGCGGTGGAAAAGTGAAAGAAAAGTGCTTGTGCATTTACCTTTTTGTATAAAAGAATTTTAAATATCACCAAAGGCTTAGTACCGACTTTCAACTGTCCTAGTTACTGATTTGGGATGAAAGGACAATGTTCAAAACAGGGATATATGGGTGAAAAGCAGGTCCCTCTAGTTGGGATACTGTGGAGCAATGTTATGGAACAAGAGAAATTATGACTTAGTTTTAACATAACATACGGCAATTAATAAAATTCATTTTTTTTATTTCCTTGCCTATATCTCGGTTAATCTGTTAATGAGTATTTATAATAACTTGTATAATCACGTAGTCTCCAAGATATAGTCGCTTGCAGCAAATGTTTAAAATGCAGCCCAATACGGGAAGAATGAAATTTAGGATAATAATAGCATATTTTAAGCTTCTGGCATGATACGTAAATTATCATAAAATGGAATTGACTGTTAAAAAATGACTTTTATGGCTATTTTTGCCCCAAATAAAACACAGTTTGGGAAAACGCTAAACCGTTGGGATTTGAATTAGGCCCTGACTGGTGAGCTGATGGAGACTGGAGAATGAAATTTACATACGCTGGATACTGAAACCTCAAAGCAAAGGCCAAAGGCAGGAAAGTAAAAGCAAGTTCCAGGGTAGTACAAAGCTAATCTTCCAACATGGTACCTGTGCTCTGTAGTTTCTTTTCTGCAAAAGAATAGAGAATTGTCTTCTTTTACATACTGAATTATTTCCTTCTATTCCTACTAATTTCCATGTCTCACTTTTTAATATTTTACCAATTCTGGTCTTTATTTTTGACATGCAGGTAGTTCAACTCAATTCATATTCTCTATGTGGTACTTCATGCACTAGTATGCTTCTACACCCTTTGAAAATACTTCTGGATGTTTCTTAAAAGTGAAACATTCATGCATATTCTGAGACTATATTTGTAAATAGATACTTATCCTACTTTAAAGCATTGAGTTCAAGAATATTTACACTGAAGAAATGGAAATAGGCCCACAGGAAGTATAAATTTATTAAGATATGCATTCATATATAGGTCAAATGAAATCACCAAGAAGGATATCTACTAGATGCTAATTATTAAAAGCAAATAAAAGAGAGAAAATTTAAGTGGAGAGGGAGAATGCGTCAAAGGCACTATGCTATGTAAGAACTTTCCATTCTTACTGGGATGGGAAGATATATAAAATTGATCACACTCTTAAGGAGCCTAGAAGGCAGGTGAGGAATGCTCACAGAATTCATAGAACTGTTGGAATTTGAGTTGGGTCCTCACTGATAAGCGATTAGATGCTGAAAGAGCAGAGTAAAGGCTATAGGCAGAATGTTAAAACAAATCCTGGACCATACAAATCAATTACCAGATTTGGTCATGACCATGGATGGCATGGTTGTGGTGAAAAATAAGTTGAGAAGTAAAGTTGGGAGTAATTTTATCACTTGCAGAATGGAGACAGTGTTATTTACATCTAAGATTGTTGTGAGAATTATGAATTAGAAATAGTCTATCTGAAGCTTCTCGACTTCTGATACGTGTTAAGCCCTGTAAGTGGCCACTGCTATTATATTGAGTGTCAGATTGTGAGGAACCCTGATTGCAAGCTGAAAAATATGAAGTGGTGTCCATTGATGGGAATACGATGACTAATCTAACAGTGTCTTTCGGTATAAATTCTAGGGAGTCAGGAAGAGCAGTTATGCCTAGCTGTGGTATGAAAGTATGACAAGGGTGAGAGTAGTGGAAATGAAAAGGTGACGACCAATCTGAGAGTCAGTAAGATTGGAAAACAATATGGTTTGAGTCAAATTGGATGTGGAAGTTAGAGAAAAAGCAATAATTGGGTTTTTAAGCTGCTAAAAGTCATGGGGAACGGAGGAAAGAAATATTATAAAATAGCCATGTATGTGAAAAGTAGAAAGAGGCAAAAGCAGGATCATGTGAAAGGTTATTTTCTAGATATTAGGGATGTCTCTATAGCTATAGGTACTCAGAAAAAGACTTTGGAAAGGAAATAGAGGAAAGAAAGAATAGTGGGCAATGAACAAGGTTCAGATGGTTTGGGAAGGGAGAAAACCTCAGTCTCTCCATTCAAAAACTATGCCTACTAAGTTCACAAGTCTATGGTTAAAAAAAATAATAATGGATAGGTTATATTGAAGACAAGACCTAAAACTAGGATTTTACAATTAAAAGTAACTAACAGGATGAGTGAGAAGATTGTACTCATGGTTAAGAGGCTCTTAAGACAATATGTATAGGCAAAATGGATCAATCTTCATTACACTTTTATCCCATTCTACAAAATTTAGTCTGAAGTCTAAGAACAAATTAGGGAAATTTAATTTACATTCAAAAGATCTTTATTTTCCTCCCACATTGAGTTCAAGTACACAAGGGAGTTCAAAAGCAATAATCAGGTATTTTATTTCTGCCCTCAAAGTACTTATAATTTAATTGAAAAGGTAAAATATATATGAATTAGAGTAATCCAAAGAATAATATACACACACATAAAAATATAGATAAAAATAAAAAGACAGAAATCATAGAAGAAAGCAGCTACAGTTTATTGAGAAAGAAGGAAATTATAATCTAGAGGACATTTTTTTTTCTTTTTTAATTGCTATTTTGCTTTTAATAAACATGTTCCTTCAAAAATTCTTAAAACTATGATAAGTAGCTGTTCCAACTGGTTATCAGGTTTTGGTCATTATTTGCACACAGAAGAAGCACTAGGATTCTAATTCCTTCAAGAGCTTTAGAATATATATATTTTAATGCAGTACAGGGCAATGGCTTCCAGGCAAATAAAGCCATTAATACACAAAGAATTCACATCTAACAATAAGAAAATAGATATGCTTATCAAAAACATTTTCTCCTAGTGCTTTGGGGAAGTTAACAAGCAAAATTCCTGTTAGTGTTGGCAAAACCTACTGCTAGATGAATCATCACATTAGTTTAATAGTCTTATGACATTTCATATAAGACTACTGTGAAAATTATTGAAATGAACTTCATAATCACATGTTTAAATTGTTACATAAAACATTATGTAAGTGTCATTAATTCAGCACATTTATTGAGAGTTTTCTATAGGAAAGGCATTACGCCAGGCACTGGTTGGGGCAGAGGTTGGAAAGATTAATAAAGCATAGCAGATAATGTAACTAGTTATCCTGTGTTTATATGATTTCTTTGACTTGTATGTGTGTGTTCATATATGTAAAGACAAAACAAATTAAATACAAGCATTTGTAAAAAAGCAGTGTAGAAACAAATGTCATTAATTGAAATTAGGTAGATTATAATTTTTTTTTTCCATCACTAAATTTCTGCAGAATAGGATGAGAAGCACATTATTCTACTGTGTGCTTCCTTCATTCTTCAAAATTATGATGGTGTACTGGGTACTAATTTTTTTTAACCTGCAAGCATCTGTAAAAGGTTAGGTAATTGTAACAAATTATTTTAGGGAATGAGATAAAGAGAAATAAAATGACTTAATTAAAGCAGCAGAAAATCATGGTCTTTTATTTTTAAATAGCTAAATTCACTAGATCCTGTCCTTTTATGATGCATTTCCTCTTCTCTTTCTCTTGTGCAGATCAAGCACATGAAAATATTAGAGTTCTTACATTTTTATAATACATATAAATAACTTTAAAAATCTTGCTGGTATTTACTGGTAAGTTGCATAATCATGTCATTACGTGGAAGTACAGAAAGAACACAGAGTGAACTAATAGAAGATATTTGATGTAAAGTAATAATTATTTTAATTATTCAATTTAAAAAATATCCATTAGTCTTTTGTTACCAGTATTTGTTAAGACACATGAAAATTGTACATTTTAAACATCTTTTAAAATATTAAATCTAACTTCTAAAGTCATTAGCTATTTATTGTTATAGATGAATACAAAAAGACATTTTAAAAGGTATTTTAGCATAGCAATATGTAAAGGTCATTATCACTGGCATTGTTAACATAATCATAGAAATCCATTGCTACTCTATGTTCTATGAATTATGTAGAAATACATAAATAGTGATCATTCTTGGTGTCCTTAGAGTCACTTACTGCCTGAACTGGATTTCACAGAAGTCAGCTGAGATCTGGGATATAACTTGTACTTTTATAATTAAGACAGAGAGAGGAAAACGGGGGTGGGGGAGCAGGAGGGGAGGAGCGGTAGTAAACTGCCACTCCAACTGCCTTTTCTGGAAGGCTTAATTTGGGGATGTCTGTGATTCTGTGTCACTGGCTCCTAGATATATCATATTTATTTTGCAAATCACATGTTTGCCCACCTCTGCTCAGTGGATCTCCAGCCTGCTATGCCTCCCTTGTTCCTCTCTTTCTTCAGGTTGGCCATTTTTCGAGAGCCATCTCTATTTGTACATTTTCCTATTCCAGTTTTGACTAGTGTGGACTCTGCAAAATGCCTAAGACTTAAGCCCTTTACTATGTCTCTGCCAATGATATGTGACTTTATAATCTTCCTTTTATTGTTTTTATGGGCTGTTAATGAAATCTTCTGGTATAATTCAACATTTCCAATGTCTCATCTTCCAATCAGATCAGTGGTTCTCGGTGGATCAACCCATAGACGATATTTGGAA